CACTATGAACATTAATTTTTCTTCCTTTCACAAAGTGACTGATCAAGTCTGCACACTTAAGGACAAGGTTTGAAAGACTGGAGAGTGTGGGTGGTAGATTTTTCACCCTGAATTTAAAGGTGGATCTCACTAATCAGGGACACTTACTATTATTGTTTTTGTATTATTATTATTATTATGTCGGTCATGGCACTTGAACTCAGGGCTTGGTTGCTGTCCCTCACCTCTTCAGCTCAAGGCTGGCTCTCTACCACTTGAGCCACAGCGCCACTTTTCATTTTCTGGTGGTTTAGTGGAGTTGAGAGTTTCCAGCCTTTCCTGCCTAGGCTGGCTTTGAACCATGATCCTCAGATCTCAGCTTCCTGAGTAGCTGAGATGACAGACATGAGCCCCAGGCACCTGGCTGTTGTTGTTATTATTATTACTGAAATTTATTTCAACTTGAAATTTATTTGTATAAGGTGGTTGCATTTCAGATTCTTACTCTTAGTCTTGAAATTTATTTGCATCAGACAGATGCATTTCAAGTAATTATTACTCTTGAAATTTATTTGCACGAGGTGGACGCATTTCAGATTATTATTATTACTGAAATATATTTGCAGCATTTGGATGCATTTCAAATAATTAATATTCTTGAACTGTATTTCCACATGACAAATGTATTTCAGATTATTAGTAATTGTTATTAGTCTTGAAATTTATCTGGATCAGGTGCATGCATTTCAGATGATTCGTATTATTGGCATCAGACAGATGCCTTGAAAATGGAACATGGTCCCAACGTGGCATGAAGTTGGGCTGTCTGCAAGGTTTCTGGGAGTCGGAGGCATGCCTTGATTCCCTGTTGGTGTGGTGGGTGACCGGAGACAATACGTGGCGAGCAAGCTGGGGGTCTAGCTCATTTTATCTTCTAATGCCAGGTGTGACCTACAATGTGGACTATCTTTTTTCTTATTTTTTGGCCAAGAGCCATGATAAAATTTAATTTAGTGAGGCTGGGCCAGAGGTTGCTCATGCATTCACTTATTTAGCTCCAACAGAGGGCTAGTTAGATGCTGTGCTTCCAGAAGAAAAATAAAAGCCACTGGAATCAGAGAGCCAGGCCTAAGGTCTATGGTTTACGGGTAATGGCTGCTATTTTTTTCCTGAATTCTGAAGCTTAGCTCACCCATTTCTAATCACAGGGAACTAAATGTCTATGCAAGGAGAGGATTCATTTTAAAATAGCAATACTGGGTAGACACTGGAGACTTGCACCAAGAATTTAAATAAAAACAGGATGGGGAGCCAGGATTTGCACCCCTCTACCCCACTGAATATAAATTTAGTATTTTTCAGGAAGAATATATTTCCCAAGCAGTGACTTCATTTTGTAAAGCCCAGTATTATTGGTGGAGGAAAAAAATTCTCAAAAAAAAGAATACATACATACATACATATATATATGTATATTATATATATATATATATATATGCATACCAAATCACTGTTACAGTAGTGATTAATTGATACTGAAACCAATCTCAATGAGCATATGAGAAGCAAGAACAGAATATGGAATTGGAAGAAATTTACATAGAAACGTCCATATATGAGAAAGGCTAATGTGATGTTTGATGAGAATGAATGATCCAAAATAAATGTACAGGGAAAATGGTTATGACCTGAATGGGAAAAGGAAGAAATAAGTCCTAAAAATATGTCATCGTGACACTCTCCCTTTCCACCCCCCATAAAACAACATAAAAAACTATGTGCTCTACTCAATGTTCTCCACAGAATATTTGCGCTATATAATCTCCCAGTAAGAAAGACAGACAGAGAGAGAGACAGAGAGATAGACAAATAGATAGAGAGAAAGAGAGAGACAGACAGACACAGAGAGAGAGAGAGAGAGAGAGAGAGAGAAGGAGAGAGACAGAGGTAATTCTTTCCAAGAAAAAAAAAGGAAATCTGCAGAAAGAAATAGAATTATATTTGTGGAAATTTCATGACTGTTCAGAGACTAGTGACTGATTGAGTAGTGACTGACTCCCTATGTTGGAAAAGAATGGACCAATTTTCTTTCTGGGTTGTTGGGTTCTGGGCTCCATGAGCCACAAAAGAATTGTGGATTTGCACCACCAGCCCATAGAAGGTGGCCAAGTGCAAGCAACATGTGGACAGATTTATAAAATGTCTGTGGATTATTATGGAATCAGGATACAGGATGGATTTTTCTGAGAGGACAAAATAAGTCAAGCATATTAAATGTTAAGTATTGGGAGAAAAAAAAAAACATTTGAAGAGTATTATTGTAGAGGAGGCAGAATTGATGGAACATTCATGAGGCGAGGAAGAGAAGAGAGAGAGATACAAGGACACTTGGAGCTTCGTGATTGGGGCAAATGTTAGAAAACTCCATAGCTCAACAAGGGGTTTCTAGAAGTCGGAAGAAATTTGGATAGTGGACGTTGGAGAACTTTCTTTGAATTGGACCACAACAGAGATGCCAAAACTGGACAGCAGAAAATAATATGCAGTTTAGAAGATATGAATATATTATGCAGATCTTCCAGCTTGCTAGGAAACTCAAACCTTAAAAGAATGAAGAGAGGTTTGTGTTTGGTTTTGTTTTTTTCTTGTGAAGGCAGTAATTGAAGAAGTAGCACAGGTTTTAAAAACATGCTAGAAAATGTAGAGGAAATACAGAAAGGCAACGAAGTCAGGGCCTTAGAAAGGCCAGTACAAAGTTTCAAGAAGATAATGTAGAAAGCATAAATTTGGTGGCAAGAAATATAAAGGCCCTGATGGTAGGGTGATATTTTAGACTTCATTTAAAAAAGAAAACAAGATTTTCAGAATCTAAAGGGAAGAATTAAATAGAGTACACTCAAAATACAGATCAGCTTGAAGTCCAGAGGTCAATGAAATTAGTGACTAAAAGATTCATTTTGTTTACTTTTTAATTAACAAGTAATAATTATGTACATTTTTGGAACAAAATTGAATATGATCTATCTATGTGTTAATCCATTTATATCTACCTATCTATACATCAATCCATCATCCATTGATCTATCTTCCATATCTGTTTATCATCCACCTATTTATCAATTCATATATCAATCTGTCATCTAGCGAGCTATCTATACATGCACTGTTGAAAAATTAAATCCAAACAATTAATATTTCCAACTAACAATCTGCCATGTTGAATTGCATTAATCCTAATAGGCAAGGCAAATCAATCACAGAAACATTTTCTTTCGTTATAATTACATTCTAACTGATTCCATTTAATTCTGAGTTGTAATTTTAATTCATTCATTCTGTGATGACTGTGATTCATGCTCCATTTCTATATTCAAGTCCAGAGACTGTCCATGAGAAAACATCTCTGTTAGTTCTTTTTCCTTTCTTTTTTATTGTTGTCCCAGTCCTAGGACTTGAACTCAGGTCCTGGACACTTGGCACTGTCCTTGGGATATTTGTTGCTCTATCTAGCACTCTACTACTTGAGCCACCACTTCCACTTTTTTTCTGGTGGTTCATTGGACACTTTCCTGCCCAGGCTGTCTTTGAACCAGGATCCTCAAATCTGAGCCTCCCAAGTAGCTAGCATGAGAGGCGTGAACCAGCAGCACCCAGCTCTCTGTTCAGTTTCTATATGTCCTTGGACCTGAGATATCTTATTCCTTATTTCTGTTTTCTAGCTGAAGAAATAACTTCCCAGTCCAATTAAACAAGTTACTGCACTGCTTATTATTATGCTTATATCGATCCATTCAGAATACAATCAACAAACCATCCAATCAATTATCCTAGTTATCTTTTTTACAAGTGTACATAAGAGCTAGGCAAAAGCTTAAGGAGCTTTGCTGGAATCACAACAGTAAAGCTACTAAAAGCAGAATGTTCTAGATATTTTGACTCTTGAATCGGTGAGCATCCATCAGCAAATGTCCTGGGAAAGGTGGTTTAAACTCCCTGTGTTTCAAATATTGTGTGTGTATAATAATTAGGTAAAATTGTCAGCTTTCCTAGGTTTCTTAAATCCTTTTTTATGTATTTATTTATTTGTATCCATTGTGGACCTTGAACTCAGGGACTGGTCACTGCCCTCAGCTCTTCTGCTCTAGGCTGGTGCTCTACCACTTGAGCCACAGCGCCACTTCCTCTTTTCTGGTGGTTCATGGGAGCTCAGAGTCTTGCCGACTTTCCTGCCCAGTCTGGCTTTGAACCGCAATACTCAGGTATCAGTCTCCTAAATAGCTGGGATGACAGGCACGAGCCACAGGCACCCAGCTTCTTGTATTCTCAACTACATAAAAATCTTTGAAGGATGTTGAGTTATTCACTTCACAATCACCCCCAAAAGATCCTGCTTCAACAATTTGCTCAGGGAAAAAATATTTTTTTTCTTCTGTCACATCTGATTGTTTTTGGTACAAGAAACACAGCAAAGATATTCATATTGACATTTTTTTTGGTTTTTGTTCCAAGTCACTGCTGAGTGAGTCATTTGACTGGAAATCTATTGGAAAAACTGCTCTGAGCTTCTGATGGCGTTGTAATTCTAAGCTGACAGTAGGGCTTTTAGCTGTGAATAATCTCCTGCAGGAGAGCTTGCTCTGGATTTTGGAGGCTGACATTTTGGTCACACTGGAAACCTGATCTCTAATTTCTTTGCTTTTAATTTCCCTCAAAGCTGCTTTAGAAAAATTATTATTATTATTAAAGGTCGACATTTTGATACATTACATTTTATGTTCACCCCGTATTTCAAAAATTTCTTTGAGCAAAACCGTGGTTCCTGGATTGTTTCTCTGAGTGGAATGAGAGGGAAGAAAAGATGGAGAAAAGAATTGATAAGGGGAGGAAAAGAAGAGAATAAAACCGAATTGAAGAGGTTAAAAGAGATTTTTCTCCCCTGTTGAAATTTCATGTCCTGCATTTCTTGGGCTTGTTGAAGGCTGCCTGGAAACCTTTACGATTTCCTCGGTGACTCAAAGACAATGTGGCATTGTGAAGGTGTCGGGAAAGAGAAGAAATGGCAGGTCCTAAATGGAAATGGCTTATGTGAGTTTTCCTACCAACAGGTATACAGTGAATATAAAAGTATGCTGGTTGATGAGAGCTCTTGGCCAGAGGCCAAGGCACCAAGGTATTAATCAATAAGGTCATTGCAAGGCTGAAATTATCACCAAAATAATCACAAAATGCACTTATCACACACACATTCACTTCTGAGTGGAAAGCTGAGATTTACACACACACACACACACACACACACACACACACACACACACACACACACACGTTTGTAGCTATTAGAAGAGGTCTAATGCAAAAACATACAGAAGCCCAGGAATCTTCTAGTAAGTGGGACATGCAAGAAATATGTTCCAATAGGGCTGGGAAGGTGGCTCAGTGGTAGAGTGCTTGCCTTGCATGCACAAGGCTTGAGGTTCGATTCCTCAGTGCCACATAAGCAGAAAAAAACAGAAGTGGTGCTGTGGCAAAGTGGTAGAACACTGCCTTGAATTGAAGAGCTGAGGGACAGCATCAAGGACCAGAGTTCAAGCCCCATGACCGACAAATAAAAAAGGAAGAAAGAAATGTTTTCCAATACAAAAGACTACCCTTGTTACAATATAATGACTCTCCTCCCAAAATAGTTGTCTTGGGTTTTTGAAAATGCAGCTCTTTTTCACTGTTTCACTGACTATAGTGTTTTTGTTAACAGACAGTAAGTATATATTTTTTTTTTAATGAATTGGTAAATATGTTGTGTGTGTGTGTGTGTGTGTGTGTGTGTGTGTGTGTGTGTGTCCTAGAGCTTGAAATCTGGGCCTGGACACTGTCCCTGAGCTCTTCAGCTCAAGGCTGGTTTTCTTCCACAGGAGCCACAGATCCACTTCTAGCTTTTTGGTGATTCATTGGAAAGAAGAGTCTCATAGACTTTCCTGCCTGGGCTGGCTTCAAACTGTGATCCTCAGATCTCAGCCTCCTGAGTAGCAAGGATGGCAGATGTGAGCCACCTACACCTGGCACGATTATCAGGTTATTTTTACAAATGTGAACCAGAGCTTAGCAAATATCACTAGATGTCTACTATGGTATTTTGTTTTTCCTCACCCAGTGTAATTCTGCAATAATAATTACAAAGGATGTACACAAGTATATACATATATGTCATATATAATTATATGATATATACATATAATTGTATATATATGGTAGTTATAAATATCTAATAGGACACATGGATACATATGAAAATATATAAATACATATACATATATACTCTTATGTATATAATTAAATACAATGCATGTAAATATATATAAATATAAAAATCTTTAAATACTTGGAAGCCTTGCAAATATCTGCCAGATGTCCCTTCCTTCAGTGTAATTCTGCAATAATTATTATTCACATATTATATATAAATATACATCTATAAATTATATGTACATACATCATTTATATACACATATAATTTATATACATATAATTATATATAATATATACATATATATTTTATACTATTTGTATATACCTATATATACATTACATTATACATATATGTAATGTAGATACAAATAATTATATAATATATACCTATATTGTATACATTATATATATATATGTACAATATACATATAATTATATAATATAGACATATATAATCATACATACATCTAAATGATATATATATTATAGTCACATACATATATAAATATCTAAACATATAAAAATCGTGCAATCATACAGTCCTGCGTTTAGAAGAGTCAGCACTCAATGGTTTGGTGGATGACTGGGAGGGAGTACGTGTGGATTTCTTCAGCTAATCAAGTCATTGGGAAACACAATCAGCTAGCGTGTGGAAAGTTCGCTCCAGGCTGCAGGCCTCGTGTGGCCGATGACATTTGGGTGTGTAAATATCACACTGTGTCTGGGCACTGTCTGGAGTAACATAGGCTTCATGGAAGAATTTGGAGAAGGAGCAGCTGAGTGTGAAATGCCAGCCGTCCATCCCCAAGGAGGCTATAAATGATCTTAGACACACACAAGGAAGAAATGCCACCAGGTGGGGGACATATTTATCTGTTGCTCCATAACTCACTTCAAGGGCCCAGAAACGTCAACTTGAGCAAAAGAACAAAACAAAAATATTCTCCAGAGTATTATGTCAGAAGAATATTCCATACCAACTAAAAGTAGGATGTGCATTTCTTTACACGATGCTGTTCATTCTATTGAAAAAGAAAGAAAAAAAGAAAAAGGCCCATGGCTGGGCGCTGGTGGCTCATGCCTGTCATCCCAGCTACTCAGGAGGCTGAGATCTGAGGATTATGGTTCAAGGCCAGTCCCTGAGGCTCTCATCTCAGTGAACCATCAAAAAAGCTTGAAATGGAGCTGTGGCTCAGGTGGTAGAGAACTAGCTCTGAGCCAGAAAACTCAGGAACAGCACTCAGAAGTTGAGTTCAAGCACACACACTCACACACACACACACACACACACACATACACACACACACACACACACAGGCCTGTAAATCACAAGTTCTTTTCAGTTATTCATACCTTTTCACAAATAAGTTGTAAGAGCCAAACATTAAATTTAGAAATAAACCCTGTTTGACAACAAAGAGGTTAATTTTAGGTAGAATTGAAAAACTATTCGAAATACGCTTTACAAAGAAAATTAAAGCTATGGAAGAAACTTTCCTTCAGATATTTGGTGTTAGTGTGTGGCTCCCTATCCTCTTCCTACAAAATGTAGTGGAGGAAAGTGTTCATATTCCTTTTAAAGAGAGGGAAAAGGAGTCAGAGAAGAGGGCTGAGAAAGGGGCTCAGTGGTAGAGTGCTCCTCTAGCATGCATAAGCCCTGGGTTCAATTCCTCAGTACCACAGACACAGAAAAAGCAGCAAATGGAGCTGTGGCTCAAGTGGAGTGCTATACTTGAGCAAAAGAAGCTCAGGGCAGTGCCCAGGCCCTGAGTTCAAATCCCAGGACTGGCAAAATAATCCATTATACTTTTAGTGGAGGAACAAAAGATGCAAGGCCTCTGATATATAAAATAACTCCAGGAAATTTAAAGAACAGGTTCTTTTCTTCTACATTGTCTTTGTTTTCTTTTTGTCTCCTGGATGGGTTTCTCTGAATCTGAGAGGGTGAGGGGGGCACAGAAATGGGGGCACAGAGGGGAACCAAGGCAGCCGGGGTCCTCACTGAATACCATGTGGAGAATGAATTCTATCACTTGTGGGTGGGGACTGGAGGGAAACACTGGGGGAGAGAGAGAGTGAGGGAAGTGGGGACAGGGTCCAAAGAGAAATGGGCTCATAACTTGACTGATGTCACTGTCACCTCTCTACATGTCACCTTTGTCATCATAATTTAACAATGAATTCTATGATTCTCTCCTCTGGCCCCATATGATCTCTCAGGTTGTGACAGCATATTTAACGTTAATATCTATTTTCAGACCTTCCTCTATCATTTCTAGCCTCACATGTATCTCTGATTAGAATTTCCGGATAGATTCCAAGAGTCCACTTACTAAGTGGATAAGCCCATTTGAAAAGGAGCACTTATTATTGCATCAGAGTGAAAAAAATTACGTCTTCTAGACTTTGCATGTATTAATAGAAATAGACTGTTTTCCATTTGCATCTGTGCTGCACTGTATTAGTATAACTCAGTTTTGTTCTCCTTGACCTGGAGTAACTAGGGAAAATGTTTGTTTGTTTTCTACTACCTTCAGATTTAGTTGTTGGTGTGTTTTCTTTTTCTTTTTCTTTTTTCCGGAAAGCTTTGATGGAGAGAAGGAAAAAAAAAAAAAAAACCTGTGAAATTTGTTTTGTGTTATTTGTTGAATTAAACCTGTAGCATACAGTGCCACTTATCTAAGAGCCATACAACAAATGATAGCAATACCACAGAGTTACTTTACTCACTGTTACCATCTTTGATCAAAGCCTTTTGATTAAGCACCCACCTATAAAAAGCATGGTACTAGCTGAGCACCTGTGACTCACGCCTGTCATCCGAGCTTTTCAGGAAGCTGAGATCTGAGGATCCTGGTTCAATGCCAACTTGGACAGGAAAGTCTATGAGACTCTTACCTCCAACGGACCACTAGAAAACTGGAAGTGGTGCTGTGGCTCATGTGGTAGAGCACCATCCTTGAGCAGAAAGAGCTCAGGGACAGCACCCAGGCCCTGAGTTCAAACCCAGGATTGGCAAAAACAAACAACAAAAAAGAAGATACTTAATCCAAAGATGAAATAAAACCTCACAGTTAGCTGAATAGTTGAGCAATGAGAGCACTTATTTCAAAAATAGCAATAATTCCTGGGCTGGGAAGGTGACTCAAGTGGTAGAGCGCTTGCCTTGCATGCCTGAGGCCCTGGGTTCGATTCCTCAGCACCACATAAGCAAAAAGAAAAAAGCCGGGAGTGGCGCTGTGGCTCAAGTGGTAGAGCGCTAGCCTTGAGCTGAAGAGCTGAGGGACAGCGCCCAGGCCCACAGTTCAGGCCCCACGACCAGACCCCCCCAAAAAGTAGCAATAATTCCTAATATTTATCAACATCTCCTAAGTGCTGATAGACGTCAACTAATCAAAACTCTTAGAGTTCAAAGCAATGATTATTATACAGTATTTAGTTTATATACATTATATATTATATACTATATATATGTATTCCAGATCTTCTTATGTGTGACTCTCCTTTGTAATATATATCCTTAATATAGATATACATATATAAAAATATATATAGTATATATACACACAAATATATATTATATGTTATATATTATATATACATGCTTATGTTATATTATATATTATATAATATTGTATTATATCCACTAAGTGTCTATATTATACATTGTATTATTCTTATTATTTAGCATTTAGTTTACATATACTTAGTGCCTATCCTGGAGCTTGAACTCAGGGCCTGGTTGCTTTCCCAAAGCATTAAGTATTTCTTTGTTTGCCGAAGGCTGGTGCTCTACCACTTGAGCCACAGCACCACTTCCTGTTTTCTGGTGGTTCATTGGAGATCAGAGTCTCACAGACATTCCTGCCCAGTGTGCCTTTGAACCATGATCCTCAGATCTCTAGGATGGCAGGCATGTGTCAGCAGGGCTTGGCCTGAAACTAATGCTTTGTGTGAAGAGAATCTACTAATAATTTAAGGCATTTTTTTTCCCAAGGAATCTTTTTTTTTGGGGGGGTGGGGGGCCTGGTCGTGGGGCCTGAACTGTGGGCCTGGGCGCTGTCCCTCAGCTCTTCAGCTCAAGGCTAGCGCTCTACCACTTGAGCCACAGCACCACTTCCGGCTTTTTTCTTTTTGCTTATGTGGTGCTGAGGAATCGAATCCAGGGCCTTGAGCATGCAAGGCAAGCGCTCTACCACTGAGCCACCTTCCCAGCCCCCCAAGGAATCTTTATGAAAAAAATCCCAGCATCAGAACGAGGTTGTGGGGTCCTTGGTTTGATCCTAAAAGACATGCATAGCTAAATGCTAGTGCCATCCAAGTAGAAAAGTCACCCCAAACTTGGCAACCAGCGAAGAGACTGCAGTGGTGTGTTTGGCAGAGTGATTCACAAATGATTGTGTCTCCCCTTGAACAAGCACCTTTTAGAGAATTCTGTAGAGAGGAAGGTACAATACTCTAAATGATACTTAGAACACCTTCAAGGGTGAAGATTGGACTCAGAAACACGCAAAGACTTCCACCAGATGAGAAAGGAAAAGCAACGAGAGGAAAACCAAGAAGAAAAGCACATTAGAGCAAAGGAAAGCAAAGTATCACCTTGATAAGCTTGGGGCTTTAGGGTTGAAGGATACATGGGAAAACCTGGGGTAGCAGAGACATGTAAGGAATCAAGGCAATAAATAGTCCATTTTAAGAGATCTTCAAATAGGGAGAGTGTGAGGAGAATTCTAGAAGATGAAAAGGGGCATGATCATACAAAGGGATGGGGTGAGAAACACTTATATCTTTTTCTTTATTTAGTTCATAGAGTTTCCATTGCAAGGTGTGTCTAATAATGACATTAATACACTCACCAGAGAGGTTGGGATTATTTTAATGGTGTGTGTGTGTGTGTGTGTGTGTGTGTGTGTGTGTGCACGCGTGCACACTTTGCCTTCCTTTATGGTTAGAAAAAAGGTTCAAAAAGAGAGCTGGGCTGACTGGAATCGAACCTAAAGGCATCATTCAGACCTCAAATTGTAGCAATCACCTATTCTCTCTGAGCCTGCAAAACATCCTTGAGCCGACCTTGATCTGTCTCATAAGCTTCCAGTCAAACGTGTTCATAATTGAGAGTAATGCATGTGAATCAATTGCATTTAGGCAGGTGAAATCGAAAATCTTAATGTGATTAAAGAAATAAAGAAATAAAGAAGCCAATCTTCTAGCTATGCATTTTTACCAGACCCTTCTGCTCTCTGACTCTGTGTGTGTGTGTGTGGTGTGTGTGTTCACACGTGCGTGCTGCTGTGCAAAAATCTCCAACTTCAGCAATACTTCCAAATTTGTGCCTGGCCTACAGGCCTCACTACTTCTTATGGTTATAACCTGTAAAGGAAGAAAAGTTCATCCAGCTACCAGTGGCTCATGTCTGTTATCTTAGCTGCTTGGGAAGCTGAGATCTGAGGATCACGGTTCGAAGCCAACCCAGGTAGGAAAGTCTGTGAGACTCTAATCTCCAGTTAACTACCAGAAAACCAGAAGTGGCACTGTGGCTTAAGTGGTAGAAGACCAGGCTGAGTGAAAGAGCTCAGGGACAGTGCCTAGGCCTTGAGTTCAAATTCAGGACCAGCAAACACAAACACACTCACACACACACAAACAAATCCAGGTCAAAGGGCTTTCTACTATAGTATTGCATGAGTTTGGAATATGGGGAAATAATAGCAATGATTGGGTGGGTGCTGGTGACTCACTCCTGTCATCCCAGCTACTTACGAGACAGATCTGAGGATTGTGGTTCAAAGCCAGCCAAGGCAGGTAAGTGGGTAAGACTCTGATCTCCAATGACCCACTAGAAAACCTGAAGTGGCACTGTGGCTAAGTGGTAGAGCACTCACTTTGAACTGAAGAGCTGAGGGACAGCACCCAGGCCCAGAGTACAAGACCCACGACCGCCCAAAAAATAACAAAAACAACAATAATGATAATGATGATTTAGTGCTAAGTATCCCTTAGCTGTTGCCTAGCCCCTAGCTTTGAGGTGGGATTCTGTCACTGGGTGAAGTGTCCATGTGGTTTCTCCCTTCCCATCCACATCTTGATAGCCCTGTGTCTCCTGTGTCAGTTTCTCAGATCAACAAATCTGCAAGGTGGCATTGATCATCTAGAGCAACTCCCACATGATGAACTACAGGATTACCTTCCACAGCTGGTTCAGGTGAGCGTTGCAAAGTCTGGGGGCTTAAAGATCCTCTCCAAGGTTCCCAGTGCATCAACAATTGACTCCTTCAGAAGAATATTGCAACTCGGCCTATCAGATAACCCAATCCTTGCTGGGAACTGGTGCTCACACCTGCCATCTCAGCTAGGCTGAGATTTGAGGATCGTGTTTCAAAGCCAGCCTGGGGGCAGGACAGTCTGTGAGACTTTTATCTCCAATGAACCACCAGCAAACAAAAGTAGAGGTGTGGCTCAAGTGGTAGAGCCACTAGGCATTAAAGGACAGCAGCCAGGCCCTGAGTTTGAGTCCCAGGGTCAGAGACAAATGGAGTGGGTGGGGATGGGCACAGAAGGAGAGCTAAAGTCCTCTGTGTCTTACCTCAGGCTGTGAAGTTTGAATGGAACCTGGAAAGCCCTCTGGTGGACCTCCTGCTGCATTGTTCTTTGCAAAGCATTTGGCTGGCTCATCGGCTATACTGGTGAGCTCATTTCAAACAGGAGAGGGGGACCATTTCAATTGCAATTTAATGTAATCCTCTCTGGGGAGCTGTGGTAGAAGCTTTTTCTACACTGTAACTGTTAGCAGCCTCAACTTCAAGGTCATCGGCCATTGGAATCCTTCTCATGTGATTATCATTGCTCTTATCATTATTCGTATTTACTTTCTCAAATGATCTTCAAGTAGTTGTCCAGTAAGGTTTTCAATTCAAGATGGCAGGTGATGAGGACAATACATCTTGATGCACGGCACCCCTTCAACCATCCTTCTCCCCATTTGGTGGATGAATCACCCAAATGCCAGAAGTAGAGCTGTGACTCCAACCCCAGGAGATTCCTCCCCTCCCTCCCGCCCCCACACACAAACACGCACACACACATAACACATTTATTTGCAACACTCATTGCAAACATTGGGATGTGATCATTAATATATATTTTTCTACTCTTCCCGTTGAAAATTTCCTAGAGGGCCAAGCTTTTTTTGCCAAGTGTAAATATAACACATTTAACTCTCCTCTTTCTCTGTGTGCGCTTTAAGTTTTTCTGTACTTCATTTTGCAGTTGAACCCTTAGTTTTACTCTGTTGTGATTCGGCTGGACCAGAGGAATAGTGGTGTGGACAGCTATGACCTAGACTATGCCTGAGATCTTACCAGGAGACTCTCTCCTCTCTCCAGGAGATGCCACTTCCCTCCTGTGAAATGGTGTCTGATGACCTGAATATTTAACCCACTGTGGATTCTCTAATAAGGCTTAATATGGTGTCCATGCTACATAAATACTTATACTGCATGGTTCAGGAAATAATGAGATCTTCAACAGGATAGACTCTTTGTGTTTTGCAGATTGTTTTTTTTTTAGATCCTTAATCGTTCTGTAAGCAAGTGAACATGTGGTTGTTTTGAGTAATAAGTTTTTACCACTTTCTGTGAGCAGAAGCAATACATTGTTTTAATATATTTTATTGTGAAGATAACGGTGACATGCAGAGAGGTGACAGTGACATCTGTCAGATCATGAGCACATTTCTCTTTGGACCATGTCCCTTGCTCTCTCCCCCAGTTTTTCCCTCCCATCCCCATCCATGAGTTCATTCTCCACATGGTGTCCAGTGAGAACCATGGCTGCCTTGGTTCCCTCTCTGGTCCCCATTTCTGTGCCGCCTCTCACCCTCCCAGAGATAGGTGAAAGAACAAATAATACAAAAGGAAAAAACAAGAACCACAAAATCTTGTTTCAATTTATTGGAGTTCATTTCATAAAATATTATTTTATAAGGTAATATACACATTGTTATTGCACTTTGTGATCCTCTCCTAAGATTATCCTCCTTTGGGCTCATTGTGTGAATGTTTAGAGACCTGTATATTGATCATGTCACAGTTGTTCCTTTTTTTAAAAACCATCCAGTAAGTTTACTTGTGTTTACTTGTGTTTACCACAAATGAGGGAAATCATGAAACTTAGGTTTCTTTGGGTCTGGCTTACTTTGCTTAATATAATTTTTTCCAAGTCTTTCTATTTCCTAATAAAGGGTATAATAATATTTTTTATGGAAGCATAGAATTCCATTGTGTGTCTACACTATATTTTCTTGATTCATTTGTCCACTGAGAGGCATCTGGGCTGATTCCGTATCTTGGCTAAGGTAAACAATGCTGCAATGAACATGGTTGTGCTGGTGTCTTTAGTGTGGCCTGGTTTGTGGTCAATTGAATAAATGCCAGGAGTAGGATTGCATAGGGACGCTCTATGTTTAGTTATTTCCAAGAATCTCCATACTGCTTTCCAGAGAGGTTGAACAAGTTTACATTTCCACCAACAGTGTAGGAGTGTTCCCTTTTGGCCACCTTCCCACCAGTATCTGTTATTGTTGGTTTTCTTGATAATGGCCATTCTAACAGGGTTGAGGTGGAATCTCAATGTGGTTTTGATTTGCATTTCTTTTATGGCCAGAAATATTGAACATCTCTTCTTATTTGGCCACACTTACTTCTTCCTCTGAGAAAAACCTCTTTAACTCTTTAGCCCATTTATTAATTGGACTGTTGATTCTTTGAGGGGGGAGGTGTTAATTATTTTGAACTCTAAGTATATTTTAGATATAAAGTTCTTGTCTGATTTAATAATAGGGTTATTGATTCTTTAAGAGTTTATTTGGGTGGAGAGGCATTAATTGTTTTGAACTCTAAGTATATTTTAGATATGAGGTCCTTCTCTGATACACAGCTGGGAAAAAAAAAAAAAAACAAAAACTCCCTTCGATGGGCTTTCTATTTATTAGCTATGTCCTTTTTGCAGATATTTTTAAGCTGCAGTAAAAACCCCCACAGCTCCAGAGTGCCCAATGCACCTGCTTTTACAAACTGCCGCAGGCTAGGTCATGGTTTGATGAGCATCACCGCCAGCTTCTATTATTTAAGTATATACTCCCATTTTTAAGTCCTAGTGAAGGAAGTATGTATTAGTGTCAACGTGTATGTGCTAGGAAATTGTTTACACTGGGAAAAAGAAAAATCTTAAATAAAATAAATCCCCAAATGTGGGAACCACCGGAGAGGAAGCTCCCATTGGAACCATTCTCTCTGTGTGTGTGCAGGGATATTTTTACCCCCTTAATGTGTTATTGACTGGCATCTTGGCTGCATCTAGGCCAGGCCTGGGCTTGGTTACAGATGTGCTATGCATGACTCCTGAGTGGAATGAGCCAACCTCGCTCAGGCCTAACTGTGAACCTGCAGGCTGGGGCCAAGACGTTGTGGGAGAGAGCCCTGAAGATCATTCGCATGGTGATTTCAGGAGCCTGGGCCAGCAGGGAACTGGGCACTGGATCTACCACAGAAGGGCAGAGCTAGAGAGAAGGGGGTTTGAAGCCCCTCAGACACATTCAAACAGGCACTTGGTGTTTAAGGATACATAGGGTTGTTTTTTGTTGGTTTTTTTTATTTTTTTTGATGTGGAGATGTTGCAATATATACTATAAACTTTTCCTTTTTAAATGAAAATTATTATTGTTTTTGGTCACTTAAGGCCTAGGCACTTTCCCTGAGCTCTTCAGCCCAAGGCTAATGCTCTACCACTTGAGCCACAGCTCCACTTCTGGTTTTCTGGTGGTTCATTGAAGATGAGAGGCTCACAGACTTTCCTGCCCAGGCTGGCCTTGAACCATGAGCCTCAGCTCTCGGCCTCCTGAGTAGCCAGAATGACAGGTGTGAGCCACCAGTGTCCTGCTTAAAAATGAATAGTCTTTAAGTAGTCTACAAAGGGGTTTCCACTCAATACATCAGATTATGAGGACAATGCATCTTGACCCACATCGTCCCTTCACTCCATCTCCCCCTTTCTCCCTCCCCCCACGCCCCTGCCCAGCCCTCCCCTCAAGCCACCTGGCTCTGTGTTCACCTGTGAACATGAAATGTGAGGACTGTATTATCTGAGCTTTTTCTTACCTAGAATTTAGGAAACATTTCTCAAATGAGGGAAATATATGAAATGAAGCAATAATAATAATAATAATTAATAATAATTCTGCATCCAGTAATTTGAAATTATAAGTGTTCACACATTTTCTTTTTTTTTAACTGTATACCACTTTAATAATAATTTTTATACAGAGAAATAATCAGCTGTTCTTTTTTTACCTTTTCTATAAAATATATTGCTCCTAATAACTGTTTTTCTCTAGCTGATATGAACACATACATTGAGAACATAATGTCCACGACAATCCACTTATTCATGGGACAAAAAGTTTGAGGTGTTGAATGATTGGGAACCAAAAACAAAATGATTACTGGGTGCTGGTGTCTCATACTTGTCAACCCAGCTATTTAGGAGGCTGAGATCTGAGGATCTCGGTTCAAAGACAGCCTGCACAAGAAAGCCCATGAGACTCTTGCATTCAAAGAACCACCAGAAAATTCGAAGTGGAGCTGTGGCTCAAGTGGTAGAGTGCCAAGCTTGAGTGAAAGATCTCAGAGACAGTGCCCAGGCCCTGAGTTCAAGCTCCACAACCAAATAAATAAATAAATAAATAAACTGTGTGCTGTCATTCTGTCAGCTTTAAATAATGAGAAACACATGCAAATGGATACACAGAGAGAGTAATTGCTCTCTCTGTCTCCCTCCCTCCCTTCTTCCTTACTTCCCTTCCCCCCTTCACTTTCATGTCAGGCTAAACAACTATGCTTAATGGAGCTCCAACCATGCAGTAAAGACAAAGCGTCCATCCTTCCCTTTCCAGAATCATATCGCTACGAATTCACCTTTTGTTTGTCTGTTTTACCTTGGCATAATAACTAAGAAATTATCAGTTCCCTCTTTCCATGAAGGGAAGATGGGTGTCAATGGTGTTTCCCATCCATCCGCTGGCCTCCTCTTTCCATCAAGTTGCTTTTCACAAAAGTGTCTTCGGGACACCATCTCAGCAAACAGCAACTTGTGGAAACAATATCACTTCACTTTCTCTCCTTCCTCCCTCCCCACCCCAGATACACACAAAGAAATCTGAAAGAAAAACTGCTATGTATTTGCAAAAAGTGAAGAAAAATGATATACCCTCTTTTATACAGCCACTGGTTAAAAAACAATTTTATTAGCATGGTTGTTTTAGTAAATATAAATAGAATATGCATTTTCAACAGAGGTCTAAACCCACGTCACTTGGAAATTAAGTTCACAGTATCACCTAAGTTTTAGTACTGCTGTGAAGTGCATAGGAAGAAGTAATCTGGCAGGATATGGGTGGCACACGCCTGCTATCCCAGCTACTCTGGAGTCTGAGATCTGAGGATCATGGTTTGAGGCCAATGGAAGTGGTGCTGTGGCTTGGGGCAGGAAAGTCTGTGAGTCTCTTATCTACAATGAACCATCAGAAAACTGGAAGTGGAGGTGTGGCTTAAAGTGGTAGACCACCAGCCTTGAGCAAAAGAGCTCAGGTCGTGAGTGCAAGTCTTAGGGCTGACAAAATAACAACAAC